TGTTTGTGGTCAGTTTCTTTTGGTGGCTTAGTTGGGGGAACAAATACTTGGACCTGATGGGTGCTGATTTCTGAACCTGCTCTTATACAGTTGTAACAACAGGGTCTCTCGCTAAGCCCTGAGTAAAGCTGAGCTGCTCTCCTGGTGGGTCGGCTCTGAGGTCTAGGGATGAGAAGTAATGGGCAGAACTGGGTTGAAGTTTTACCAAGACATCTCCCTATACTTCATGCTGTGGAAGAGTTGCTAGAATGAACAATTGCGTGACTGAAAATGCAGAAAGGTTAGAAAAAATAGTAAATTACTAAAGCAAAACAAAATCTGCTTTGCATTTTAAGAGATCTACATTTTAAAAAAATGCAGGCTTAGTCTGAAGCCTTAGAAATTTCCATCACTGCTTCATGCCTCTTAGTAGCGGGATTCTGGCATTTGTGTGATAAGATGAAGGCTGTAGCACAGAAAATGTAATTTTAATTCATGAGGAGCCAGCGTCTCATTATTTCAGATTATTTCTGCTTTGAAACCTAGGGTGAATGGGCATGTATTATAGCTCTGCATTTTAGCGCAACTACAGTTACACCAATTCAGCAAGGTGGAAAGAAAGGATGGAACATGGAATTAGCACAAGAAAATTATGCAGATGTGCAAATGACAGCTCCTGGATGTTCGGTGTGAAATTTCTCTGTAAGGTTCGTACAGATCCTCCAGGGATGGAGCATTTTGAAACGATTAGCTCTTCCCATAGTAAAGCTCTTCCTGCAGTCATGGCAACGAGGCCCAAGCTCCGCTCCGCTCCCATCGGGTGCACCTTGGCAACAAGGGGCCGCAGGGCCCTCCTGCGCCCGGGCTGGCTCTGCAGCTCTCCAGTAAATGTGCTGCTTTGAACTAACTTTTACAATCGTAACGACCTGGTTTTGCTGATGAGGAAGGACATCTATGGAGTGAGAAATCACATGGCTTGCTTGGTCTTTATCCTCTGCCCTAGAATGCAGTAGGATGCAGAGATGAGTTTTGCCATGTTCGAGGTCGCACCTTTCGGGAAGAAGGGAAACAAAATCAGCCCAGTTGATACCGAAAAGTGAAACAAGATAAAAACTGCATATTTTCCAAAACAGTATTGTCTTTTTTTTTTACTGATATCCATGGCTTTACAATCAGCCCCTTGTCCCTGTTGTATTTGCAAATTAATTCTCAGGATCAGTCTTTTTTAAGTTCTGTAATTTTATACATGCTAGTAGCTATTAGAGTTCCGGTGTTTGTGTCATGTTCCCTACTATATATACTAGCTAAATGGAAGCCTAAATGTATTTAGAAAACCATTGGGCTATTTCCCCATTAAATTTATGTGCCAATGAGGCAGGCAAAGTGTTTGGGTCTTCCTCTGAGATAAGTATTCTTCTGGATTTCTGTCTCAAAGGGTTTAATAAAATTTCATCACTTGTTTTGCATGTGAATTTTCAACAGTGGAAAGGCAGTTCACAGTCATACTGCAAAATGCATGTGCATCTGCAAAATAAATGGGGAGCAAAGCGGTGGCAGGAGACTTGTTTCAGTGTAACTGAGGGATATCTGTCTGATCGTTTGTCACCTGAGTTTGAATGTCTATAAGGTGAAGGATGTTGTACAGAGGCACTGAGTTCATTTGTACGTAAAGGAGGATCCCTCAAGACCATCCTTAAAAACTACTCTCCTTGGAGAGGAAAGCTTTCCATAATTTATACATTTGTCTTCTTGGAAGTATCACTGCATCCTTGTGAGAAACTGTTGCAGAAGATTTTAAAAAATAACCTTTCTGTTGCTGGCTTTCAAATGCAGGATCACAAAATGAGGTGGCATTTTCACCTTGACTTTCTTGACTGTATGTCAAAGTCACTGTGGGCAGATGAAAATAATTTAATGCATTTCCTAGTTAATGCAAAGAATGAAGAGAGAGAAGTGAACTGCTGTTGCTGCTGTCAATTCGAAATGAGAGCAGCCAGAGGAGAGAGACCCCGGAGCCAGTGGTGGATAAGTAGCTTTATTGCTGCGCTCACGGCCTCTCCATGTCCTTGGGATCTCCCAAGGATCTCCTTGGGGACTGGTGTGATGCCAAGGTGGGGAGGAGGTTGCTGAAGGAGCAGAATGATTTGTGTCCCAAGGCGACTTGTCCAGCCTCTTCCACCAGCTCTTGCTCAAATAACAAAGGCATTTTTGTTCATATGTGTTTGTCATCAGTCTTTGTAGTTGGTACAAAGACTTCAAAGACCGTCTGTGTTTATACCATCAACACAGAAGTAACTTCGTTCTGAGGAGCTGCACCTTCCCCTCCAACCTCCAGCCTTTCTCTCTTGCTTCGGACAGGATGCTGCCAAAAAATAAGTCCTTGAAATGTGCTTAGTGGTGTGAGATTTGAAAAGAACGTTAACTGCTCTGATTTAAATCAGATTATTTGAGCCAGATAGCCCAGATGAACTACATGATTGAAACTGGAATTTATTCTGATTTAAAGCAAACTTTTTTTACTTGTGTCTCTATTAAAAGGCATTATAAAAGGTAATGCTTACGATGTGAAGGAACTGTTTACCTGCCAAATGTAGCTATATGATGCATGAAGTGACCATGGGAACCAATTTGGTGGTAATTATTTAAAGAACACCTTGCAATAGCATGGTAATTACACTTATACTACATATATTTCAGCAGCTGCATATGAAAAGCTTGTGTCTAGGAGATCCATTTTGAGAGAAGGGTTCAGACAGGTCCTACATAAAAAAAAAAATACTAAAGGCTTTTTTTTTCTTGATGTATATTTTACAAATCATGTTTTTAAAAGCAATAAGAAATCTGTATACGGTTATCAACATTGTGCAAGTTTTAAACAGTTTGGTAGGCATTGCTGAGGGACTCTTTTATTTGCCTATTTCACTTTTTTTCTTAAAAATTTAATTACAGGTTGCTATATTCCCCCCAGAGAACTTATTAACTGTGTGTGTCTCCAAAGAGTGTTTGGTTCTCATGAGATAAAAAGCCTCAGGCAAAAAGCTGCTGATTCCATTTCTGATTCATAAAGAATTTTTTTAAACACTAATTCTATCCTTGCTGGCATTTTTCATGAGTGATAATTAATAGCACTACATTAGGATCAAAACTTCTGATGTCATTTTTATAAAGGAAACATACTCTCCACAAATGATTTTTCAGAGCTTCAATTTTACTTGAAATGTTATATACAAAGAAAAATTTCAAGTATTTTTGTATATATATATACACACATATATGTACACACAGTTCAAAGAAAATTTTAAATTTTCACATCTTCTGTAAACTTTAAAACCATTGCAAAAAACAAAAAACAAAAAACTGTGAAAACACTAGTCCTTGAAGCAATTTTCATTGAATTGTTTACTTAAAAGTTGCTGCAGGGATGTTGCAAAAATACATTCCTAAGTGTTACTGAACCAAACACCATTACCATTTTTAACCAGTAATAAATCTTATAGGAAGTCTGAGATTAGAGTTAGTGTAAGAATTCTTCAGAACTACTTTTTTTTTCTATTTCTGTTTATAATAGCTGATAACTTTGTTCTGTATCTGTGTGAAATTATTAAGAGGGAATCATTATAAGGAATTATTTCCCATTTTGCAATGATACATAGCATTTGGATAATGATGGGACTTTTCAGTGTAACTAATGTCCCCCCTCTGATGGAGACATACTGGAGAAATTTTAAGTTTTGGATTGTTGAAGGTGAGTACTTGAATGGATGTGTTTTTAAAAGGATATAGCTTCTTTCACCCTTGAGTGGTTGTAATTGGACTTACCTTGTTTTTGAAATAGATCCAGGGGCTTCATTTTTGTGTTTCCGAGCCACTTCAAGCTGAATGGCTCAGGCACTCTGTGTCTTTCTGCAGTTTTCAGGTTAGTGGTACAGACCAAGCATGAAGTCCTGTTAGTGCAAAATGAATCAGGAACTTTGAGGAGGAGGCTCCACATCTTGTGTGTGTTGATTCAGACCCTGTGACTCGTGCTGGCACTTTCCTTGCAGTCACATACCACAATAAGGACATTGTTAAGGCCTGCAACAACTCAGATGAGTTAGCTGAATTTATTTACAAGATTGGATCATATTTATGCACATGATCATGCATATGATTGGATCATATTTATGCATATGATCCAAGTGGGGCTAGGAGATAGGCCCAAATGTAGAAACCATGTTGTTTCTCTACATGTGTTTTGTACTTGCATTTGTACATGTAAAGATATTTTAGTGTTGCCGAGAGAAGAATCTGTACAGGATAGTTAGGATAGACAGCAAAGCTTTTGAGAGCTCTTGTTTGAATGCTATGGCTAATTTCGAATGAGCAGCTTTAATTTACACTGTAAAAGCAAGTGAGAAATGGGCAGTATATTGAGTCTCTGATCTTTTTAGATTTTTGAAAACAAATTATCTTGCTCCACCTCTGCCACTGTCCCCTCTTGCCCCATTCACTCCCCCAAATGAACCAACTTTCAAAACAGGGACTTGTGGGACCAGTCCTGTTTGTAGTTCCACGTGCTGAATAGGGCCCCATGCATCTCTCCCACTTGCCTTCAGCGTCTTCACTTTGGAATAGCGGAGCACAGAAGTCAGGTTCTTTCTTACTCTGGGAAGTAACTTTTCAGGTGGTTTAAGTCTTCTTTTGGAAAAGGGTTAAGATGCACTGCTGGCTCTGTTACTTGGATGTCTCTGAGCTTTCCAGCTTTCACCATCGTTGTATCTACTGGGAGTTCTTGTGAAAATGACATTACTGGAAAAAGTTCAGCACTGCTGCCTTGACTGGGAGGTCTATGTTTGGTTTATTCAGCAGAGTGAGCGTCTCTCCATTATACTTTATTATATTTTTTCTGTAGAGGAAGACCTGCTCCTCTTCAGAGGTCATATGTGATTCTGTGACATGAAAAGTGATTCTTGTAAAAGATTTAATGACCAATTTGGTTGTCTAAACATACTGCCTAAGTAAAACTTCTGTTTTTCTTTCAGACTCCTCGAACATGTGAAAACTTTATCAAACTATGCAAGAAAAATTATTACGATGGAACAATTTTTCACAGATCAATTCGTAATTTTGTGGTAAGTACCGCGCAACCCCTGTATAATACACAATAAGTGATGTCCTCAAAATATTTATTTAGTTTAATTGTTAGTCCCTTCCATGCATGAAAATTTCAGTAGATGTATATTAAAAATATACCTACAGAAAGATTGTCCTTACTTATTAACTTTGTATTTATTACTCTTACTAACAACTGTCTCTGCTTACTGTTAGCACTTGGAGCATCCCTGTGCTTAGCAGTGCTTTCACTGGCATTCCAGACTAAGTTTTCTGAGAGTCGTTGCCTTGGCAAGACCCATGTTATCCTCCCCAAACTGTGGGTAGGTGCCTAGCTGAACAGAAGGGGAGAGAGGGAGCAAGAAGGAGAAATGCTCATTTGGATAAATAATATTTGGCCTATTAAAATTCCATTCAGATGAAATCTGGCTTTAGAAAACAGCTGAATTTCTGTTCAGGTTGTAGTAGTTGGGTATTATCAGATCATCCTTTCCTGAAAGTGATCTGGGACTAAGTGCCTAGGCTTTGTTTGTAGGGGATTAAAGAGCACATAGTGAACCAGAAAGCTGGCTTTGGTAGTCAAAGACTTAAGCTTTCAATATGTAACTGTAAACCTTACACAGTTTTACCTACTGGTTTATGTACAGTATCAAGCACAGCTGGTGGAAAAGATGTCCTCATATGAGCAAATCCCATCTTGCAGGGGTGAAGAGTTTAGATTCTGACTTCCTTTTCATTTTAAGCATCTGTTCAGCTTTGGGTGTGAGAGCAGTTCTACCACAAGTACCATGCACAAGAGGCTGAATTTGGAACGGATTGCACATAGCATTGGGATGGATGCTGTATAAATTTAAATCATTGGACTTTATTTAATCAGCTATTATGAGCACACATCAGCTTTTATAAACATATCTGTTTAGAAGATACCAGGCTTTAATCCTTCAGCAACAGTTTAGGGGAGCTGCATTTACTAATTCATTTTGGTAGTCTGAAGAAACAAGCTTTGTACCAGGAGAGTTAATTCTTGGAACTGAAATTTAGATTTGGTGACTCAGCATACCAAGTAAATGGCCTTTCTAGTACGTTTTTAGCTTTGTATAAACAATTGTCAGATCTTATTAGGAGATGACTTCTTGATGCATCTTACTGCTATTGCAGCCTTTCAGAAGTCCTGGAAAGACAACCTTTATTTACATAGGTACTGTTCTGGCAGCTTGGGATATTGTAGCTGTTCTGTAACTTCTTTTCAAAGGAATTAACAACTTGATCCTGGAGGCAGTGCATGTCTTTCAGGGGACGTCATTGAATGTTACATTCCATCCTGTCATCCTAAAAAAAGCTTTCTTCTTTTGACAGCACTGTGTATCTCAGTTCATAGTTAAACTCACAATTAAAATTGTGCTTGTGTGCTACCACTGTGAAGCTTCTCATGTCATGCTCCCAATAGCATTAGAATATAGAATAATGTTTCTGTACATCCTGCATATATATGTGTGTGTGTATATACATATATATGTACAGTGCTAAGTTTTGTTGCAGAAAGAACGATTTCATGTGGGAATTTTTCCCACTACAGATAATGAGGAAGATACTGAGAAATATAGATACAAATATAGCAAATATCTCATATCCCATTTCCTGCCTTTCCATCATCTGGAGGATTGGTAACAAATTGTAAACCCTTATCAGGCTTCAAAGCCAATGTATCACCAAGCAAGCTAGGACCCAGCATCTGATAGAAAGGATGATCTGGTTAACCCATTTGAGATTGTTTTTATTCCCTGTTTACCCACAAGAGACCCATTATTTTCATGAAATTGTCATTCTACTCTTAGATGAGTCATGTAGGAGATGACAGCCAATTGATAAAAGAAGGACCAAATGAGTAGTAATGGTTTCCTTGTTGCTAACTTGTCAATGTGACAAAATACAGAAGGAAGAAATTGAGCAGAGTTGGTTTTTATGGCTTGTATTTAATACTTTTCACACATATATGTACCACAATTATTTTTATTTTAATTCTGCAGATCCAAGGAGGTGATCCAACTGGAACAGGAACAGGTAAGATTGTGTTTAAATTAAACAAACTGTTTTTGCTTTATGCACAGTTTTGGTACTGTTTTTTCTTTTCCAAGCCACTTTGTAGAATAAAATTCTCTGATGACCTGTAGTACTTACTGAACATTTCTTCTCCAAAGCAGAGGTTCAGTTTTATAGTTATACTTTTGTGGCACTTTGAACTATGCTTAAAATTCCATCCCATATATTCTCAGTCTAAACCTTAGGCAGTCTTCTATGTACAATTCTTTTTGGAGCTTTGCTTTCTTTTTCTTCCAGAAAATAAATAAATAAAAACTATAATGATTTTAGAGCCAGCCTTTTCTAGGGTGAAGAGCAAAGTAAGGAACAGTCATGCAAAGCTGATTTTGAACATTGAATTTGAAAGTTAGAGACCTGCCTCTGAGTTAGTGAATGTCCAGATACCATCTCTTCTCCCAACTAGTTGCTTTGTAATACCTAAGCTTCTCTTTTTCTGATTTTTAGAGATCACCATTCCCTATTTCTGTTTGTTCTGTCTTAGTGTTCTTCCTTAGAGCTATATTAGAAAAGGCTGAGAGACATAACAGCTGCTTCTTAGTGTGCATTGAAGGATGCTCGGGGCATCACCCATTCCCATGGCTACCATCCTGTGATGGTCCATGCATTTTTATTCTATTTCATCATGTGCAACTTACATGGAAAAGCACTGTATTCTTGTGTGTGTGCTTGCAGGTCATCCAAAACAGATTCCTTTGTTAAATACCTAAACATTTGTCACTTTATAAATAATATTAGTATGCGACTGCTGGCTGAGAAGGTTAATGTATCCGAGTTTTGATGGCAAAAGCCCACTGACAAGCAATGTTACTGTGTCTGCTTATTGTCAAAAGAATTCTTTTTTTTTTTTAAGAAGGAAAGTACTGATTGAAATCCCAAAAGACATAATTAGGAACATCTTTTAAAATGAGAAATTAAAGAGGTGTCGGGAGACTAGAGACACTTAATGAGTTGATTCAGAAACCTTTCACCCTCATAGGTTGAAGTGCAGAACTTGCTAGGGAAATGGAAGTGAACTGGCTGCTGTTCTTCTTGTCTCTGTTTGTGCAAATGGTAAAACTATTTAAGACAGTACAATTAACAGTTGGCAGAGGAGAGACCTATCACTGACTGGCAGTGCAACTGCATTGGAGGTCAAGACCCACTTCTACTCCAAAAGCAAGTTGGAAGTAAAATGCGGATGTTCATGCACATTCTGGTTTTTTTTTTTTTAATAAAAAGGAGTCTAATGATGTCTGATGTCTAGTTTTTTTCCATCTCATCTCCCTTTTTGTCATCTTAGTTGAATATGTGTATCCTGCAGAGCAAGTGTCTTGTAGGCATCTGTAAAGACTGTTAAAGTTCTGAGGAAGTGGTCAGTTTAGACCCAAGTAAGTATGACAGTGTTGCAGAATTCTAGAGACTGTTTGTGGTAATGGCAGAGTTCAGGGGATACAGTGCTCATTTTTGGATCTGAATGAGTTTCGTTTTTGGAACAGCACTGAATTTTAAATATCCTTCCTCAATCCTTACAATAGTAAGTACCTGATTATTGGATAGGTAGATCTTGCACATCTGAATCAACATTAACTTCACAACATTAACCTCACAAAGTAACGTGTTTGTCAGCCTGATTTGGTCAGTATTTTGTGCTCTTACCCAATTGTGTTGTCTTCACATGTGTGATACTGGTTTTACAAAGCATTTCTGATCAACAGTTGGTGAGCAAATAACAACACCTCTTTAAATGCTTTCCAGGCAGTGATGTGCAAATACAGCCTTTCAAAATACAGTTTTGAAACCTTCTGATCAACTTTGCTGAATGTTTTATCTTGGTGCTGGAAAGGAGCATTGGGATAGAAACTTGGAAACCCTCCCATCTCCCCTTTCACAGGAGATGGGAAAAACGACAGGTGGAATCTGGATCTAGGATTCATACGGTGACAGTGTCGTCGAGGAAATTTAGAAGATAAATGCAGATTTTAATATTAGAGGAATATGCTGGAAGGAGGGAATGACTGAAAATGAATAGGGTCATGGATAGAAAAAATGGAAGTGCTTTGGAAGTCATTTTTCAGCATTCCAAAGGAAGTTTATCCCCTATTATAGAGAGAAACTGTGTCACTTCTGTAATTGCTTTGTCCTGGATACGTAGGAGGGAAAGCAGACTTAGATTTTAGCAGGAGACAGTAAGTGACAGGCTGTTGTCTGATAATTCTAGGAACCCCGGAAGATTGTAAGCGCAGAAAAGAATGCTTGAATTTTAGCCATGAAGACAACTAAATGTTTCCTCT